TTTTTTTTTTTTTTTTTTTTTTTTTTTTTTTTTTTTTTTTTTTTTTTTTTTTTTGTGGTGGCTGGCCAGTATGGGGATCCGAACCTGTGACCTTAGTGTTATAAGGCTGCACTCTAACCAGAATTCTATCAACACTTTTCTTTCCCATGTATTGTGCAAAAAGGTTATTATTGACTTTGAGCTGAATATTCATTTTATTAAAAGTATGTATTTTCTGGGCCGGCCCGTGGCTCACTCGGTAGAGTGCGGTGCTGAAAACACCAAGGCCACGGGTTCGGATCCCATATAGGGATGGCCGGTTCGCTCACTGGGTGAGCGTGGTGCTGACAACACCAAGTCAAGGGTTAAGATCCCCTTACCGGTCATCTTTTTTTAAAAAAAAGTATGTATTTTCTGAGTACCTACTGTGTGCTAGGCCCTGTGAGGATACAGTGGGAAATGTGACAGACTGAGTCCCTGCCCTGGAGGAGCTGGCTTCTGCACAAGCAAAAATAAATGGAAAAGCAGAGAGGGTGCAGGCACTTTCTGCCCCTGCCCCTCGGCTGGTACCGGCCTTCCTTGGGGGTATCCAGGCCAGAGCTCAAATTCCAGTAATCAGAGAAGCACATCTGCCCAAGAACCATTTCACTTAAGGAAGAAAGACAGTCATGGACTTGTCACCAGCTGCTTGGCAGCAGAGGCACTGCCATGTGCATTCTCAGAGGTGGTGGTGAAACCAGGTGAAGCTGTATTAGAACCAGCAGTTAGAAGTTTGGAGGTGCCTCTGTGACAGTGCTGGAATTCTGGGCTGCTCCTCTGTCCCCATCTACAGGTACAGGTTCACAGGCAGGCAGGTCCCACTTTTGGCCTTCAGAGGGGCTGTGGCCTTGCCATTGTTGCAGAAGCCTTCCTATGAGCTCCTATGATGCTGGCCTCGCTCTTTTCAACATGAAACCAAAACTATACATAGAAACCTTTAGAGTGGTAGGGAACCTTTCTGTTTTGTAACTGTTGTGACATTGCTGGCTGGTATTAATCAGTGCTTGCCTTGAGCTCGGTGGTGTGCAGAGAAGATAAGAGCACTCAAAAGGTTCTTGTGAATGATAGATTGGAGAGGCAACGGGATAGGTGAAGACACTGCTTTGGAGCCAGGGGGGCTGGGTTTGATTCCTGGCTTTGTCACTTACTACCTGTGTCTGACTTTGGTCAAGTTACTAATTTTTCTTGGCCTCAGTTTCCCAATCTGTAAAATGGAGGAAGTAATGGGATTCACATCCTAGCACTGTTGTGAAGATTAAAGGCACAAATACATGTAAGTGGAGTGGGTCAGCACAGGTCTGGGGCTCTGTCCCTTTGGTGGGAGTTGCAGGTAGGCAGCACACATGCTGTCTCCTGTCTGTGCCTGCAGTGCCTTTGGCAGCATGGTTTTAATTATCCACATGGTGGCAGAAACTGCTGGAAAAATTTAGTAGGTAAATATAGTGCTATTACAGAAGTCTTCAGCTGCTTGTTAAACATTTAGGTGATGATTGCCAGTCTGTATTGTCAGTATATATTAAGTCAAGTAGATTTAACAAGCTTAGTCACTGATTTAAGCTCCTATGCTCCCTGTTAAATTCTCAGCAGCAATAATGTCAGCAGACAAGAGCATTTCCTTCTGCTGAAAGAATGCTCAGGCTGGCTCTGCTCTTCTTACAATGCTGTCCCTGAAATTGCTCTTCAGCTTGTTCTGATCAGCAGTGCCATCATCCCCCTCCTCCTCCAAGGCAGAGCCGTTGCTCAGCGAGCTGGCCCTGCTGGGCTCTGAGTGACTTAGGTGCACGCTGCCAGCTGCATGTCTCTCCAGGTGGCCAGCAAGGTCCTCTTTCCCACAGAAGGCAACTTTTCACAAAGAAAGCCTTATGGTCTCAAGATGGAAAAGTTTTTTTGTGCTTAATTTTACTCCTTCCCACCAAAAGGTACTAACTGGAATAGATTATTCCAGAACAATCTTCTGCATGCTGGTTAAGTGCCTGCGTGGGAGGGACATGGCCCTGCCCTCCAGGAGCCTTTGGCTGTGACATTTGGAGGGCTAAGACAGACACTAGGCAGATCATCATGCCATGTGCTGGAGGATTTGCTGGGGCTCCCCCTGGGATGGGGGCAGGAATGGTGGCATTGGTACTTAGTAAGCATGTTTGCTAGATGAATGAGTGAACAACTGCTGATCTATGGGAGGAGAGATTACCCACAGAGACATCATACTGAATAGAAGTATTTAATGGGTGTTTGGAGAGGACACTTCCTACATTGCTATATTAGTCCGTTTATGTTGCTTATAACAAAATGCCTGAAACTGGGTGATTTAGAAAGAAAAACAAAATTTATTACTTACAGTTTCTGAGGCTGGGAAGTCCAAAGTCCATCTGATGGTGGCAACAGTGACCCAAGGGTCTCACATTGCAAGATAGGGGAAGCAGAGAGAGCAAAAGGCAGATTCTCCTCTTCTTTTAAAGTCCTCACAACCATACCCCTGACCACCATTTTTAATCCATTCACTACTGCATGGTCCTACAATCCAATCTTCAAGGCTCCACCTTTCAATTACCATAACAGAATTTCCCACCCTCTTAACAGTCATAGTGGGGGCTGAGTTTCTAATACATAAAACTTGGGGGACACAATTCAAGTTTCAGGGAGTTTTGGGAGGACATAATTCAATCCACTA